TTGGAGCGTGTCAGGAAATGGAACACCACGGCACAAGCACTCTTGGGATCACGCAACAACAGGATCTGGAGCCCCATAAAGCGGTCGGTACAGTAGCATTTTATCTTTTGTGTGTGTGTGTGTGTAGAAATGGCAGGCAGCTGGTTGAACTTCTCCACTTCCTATAGGTACAAGCGGAGTAACGAGATCGCGAAGTCCTTAAGTGCCTACGGCGATCTCCTGTCGCAGATCAAGGGTCACGAGCTTGAGCTGAATGTCCACTTGAGGAGCTAAAGAAGAGGGCATCCAGAATCCAGGCCACGCTTGACAAGTTTAATGCTCCCAAGCACAGGAATCCAGATTTCCGCTACTCTGGTGAGGCTGAGGCGTGGCTGACTGAACTGACTGAATGGACTAAGAAGGCGCAAGCGCTGCTTGGATCACAGTAAGGCTTATTCGAATTCATGTTTGAAGCAATGGAGCTAAAAGATGGATCTGTCGCGCAGGGAGAAGCGATCTGGCGCGATTTCGGAGCTGGTACGCACTTGCGAGAACGATCTCCTCCCGCAGATTGAAAGGTACGAGCGAGAAGAGTTGAGAGTGATACAGCCGAGCACCAGCTTTTCCGTACGGAGTTGTCCACAAGACAGAGGTCTCGTAAAGTATGTACGGCGTGGTGTTCCCGAGGCCAACGACATGTTTGGCCGCCATGGGGAGCAGGTGGATGAGGTGGTGAATGCCCTCCTGGATCCACAAGCCCCGGGGAAATGGTTTGGACTCCTGGGAATGGGAGGGTGTGGCAAGACCACCCTTGCAAGATTCGTGAACAATGACCAGAGGGTCCGGCAGCATTTCCATGACAACATTGTATGGATCACTGTCAAGAAAGATGCATCGGAGGATGATCTCAGGGCCCAGCTCCTCAACGCTCTTGACTGGGGCGGCATGAGAGAGAGGGCCCAAAATGCAGGCACCCTTGAGCATGTGCAGCACTTGGCACAAAATGTTGCTCGTGGAATTTGTGTCTTGCTGATACTGGATGATGTGTGGGAGATGAGCTTGGCCAAGGGACTGGATTTTATAGCAGGGCCGTCCTCTTACAGCCGGGTGCTGGTAACAACCAGAAAGGAAGACATTTTGAGCATGCTGGGTGCAAAGGAACTTCCTGTGCATGAGCTATCAGAGGACGAGAGCAAAAAGATGTTTTGGAAGTTTGCCTTTTATGATTCACTACCTAGTGATCCGGACATTGTGAAAGTTGCCGAGAGAATAGCTAGCAAATGTGAGGGGCTCCCTTTAGCTCTTGAAGTGATTGGCAGTGCCATGGCTGACTACAGGCATGACGGGCCGCAGGTGTGGGAAGAACGCTATCAGAAGATGCATTTGTTGAATGACGGGGACATTGAGAAGCAGATGTTCCAGCGCTTGAAGTTTAGCTATGACGAGCTGTCTAATAAGGATGAAAAGCTGCAAGAGTGCTTTCTCTATGTGGCTGCGTTTCCAGAAGATGTGCGAATCGAGTTTGATGATCTGAGAAAATGTTGGATAGCGGTTGGGTCAGAACTCTCGCCTCTGCAGATTGTTAGTGAACTGGAACGAAGATGCCTAGTGAAGACAACTGATGATCGATGGGGTAAGTATGTAACTGTGCACGATATGGTACGCAAGCTGTGCATAAGAATCATGAAAGGGAAGTACCCACCCCAGGAAGAGCACGAGAAGGGATGCCTGTTTGGCTATGATTGTCCACCTGGGATTTCTCCAACATTTTCTAAAGTTTCATTCATTGGAAAGAAGGTTACAAGCAGCCTTTTGTCTGACATTCATGTGCGAGATGTCTTGCTTCTCGATGGACCTCATGAAATTTCTGGTTTGGATATAGATCACATCCAAAATGTCAAGGTATTGAGCTTGAATGGATGCTATAATTTGGCCCGTTCTATTCCAGAGAGCATATCCAAGCTGAGAAACCTTCAAGTGCTTCACTTTCCATCCTACGATGATGTGCCTCAATTGCCAGATGCGCTCTTCAGCTTGACATCACTGAAGGTTTTGAAATGCAAGGCTACCAGAAATCTCAACTTTGCATTACTGCCCCAATTATTCGACTTGGAAGAGCTGAAGCTTCATTCCTTTGAGGAGTTAGCTGTGGATTTGAGTGGAATTTCAAGCCTACACAAGCTAAGACATTTAAAGCTAGAGCTCTACTATGGTGCAACAATAAAAATACCTCACAGCCTTGGTGCACTAGTGGACATTGAGACACTGGTGTTGCGTGCAAAGAGCATGGACTTTGGCGATTTCACCGGCCCGTGGCAACTTGTCAATCTGAAACGATGTGAGATTTGGGTGAAATCGACTATCAAACTTGACTGGAAGCGAATGTTTAAGAATTCCAAACAGCTTGAGGGCTTTGCGATTGACGGGGTTGAAGACGGTGAAAACAATGCCGAAAGCCTTGAATGGCCACAGCTACAATTGTTAACCATCAGGAACAATGAGACAATGAAAGACCTGTCCTGGTTAAAGGGCTTTCAGCGGCTACGAGAACTTCGCCTAGACAGTGGTATCCAGTTCTTCAGTTTAGATGGATCGTTCCCATGCCTTGAAGTTCTGGGCCTTGAAAATCTACACATTGCACAGTCGGAGTTCAAGGACGATTTGGCAGCAAGTCTTCCAAACCTGCAGCTTTTAACATTCAAGCTGGCTCCTGATAATACATGGGAGCATTTGCCTCTCTTTGTGACACAACACCCCAAAGACCTTGATGAACTGAGAGTAGAAGGTTACATGAGGAGACTCTTGATGCCAACCGAGAGATCACAGCTGAAGGTGAAATGCGTCACATTATTTTTGTGGAAGGGCTGTATCCCCAATGATTTCTTTGAGCCAACAGACCAGATGACTCTTTTAAGATGGGCGCACTTGATAGGGATCGAAAATATTCCATCATCCATTGCATCCCTTCCAGGATTGGAGGAACTTGAGCTCTCTGGTCATGATGATGTAGTGTGGCCCCAATTGAGTTCAGACGATCACGGCCTTGGCTTATTTCCCAGGCTCAAAGTCCTACGCTGCCTAAAAGGTACGAAAGTTCCACCATGGCTTGAGGAGCGGCCAGATCTCCAGATAACATTCTACGGGCGCTAGTAAACCTTGCTCCTTCAGTGGACATCGATTGGGTTCTCGATCTGCGCAAATGCTACACTATTTTGCATCACTCAAAAAACAAAAACAGAGATTTCCAAGCCGTCAGCAGCGTTTGGAGAAGACACAGTTTCTGTTTTTCTTACAAATCGTATTCTCAGGATATTACTTTACTCTCGTGGTTTTGAGTATTTTAAAATCTGGTGTATAGAGTAAATGGTAAAACATGGAAAACATAACAATATTAAGAATATGCATATGCATACCTTTAGTTCTTCAGAGGTCCTGAAACGGTTCTCCTTCGGCTGTAACCAGAGATACAAACACATGAAAATAGAGAAAGAAAAAAAGCAAGCACAAACCTTGTAAAACTGTGGAGCTTTACCCTCACGACGGTGACCGTCAATTTGTAGCTCCTCGAGATCTAGAGAGGTCGTCACGCCTTCTCCTTCCAAAGCATCTAGATTATGGAGCCGCTGTTTGGACTCCTCAAAAGCCGCACCAACGGAAGAGTTTTGCGTACTTTCCGATGCTGGACGTTCAAGTTGAGATGCCAAAGACCGTGCCTTTGGAACCTCGTAGTCCGGTTTTTCCTCCGCTGGAAATGCTGCCTTTGAGTCGGCCTGTTTTATCCTCCATACCTGTTGATGTTTTCTCCTAGCATTCGACTGAGTCCCGTTTGAAGATTTAAGCGACTCGTCCCTTCCATCAGAGATATCGCAGGAGGTGATGTCACTTGGCTCAGCATCTTTATGCCTCTCACTTACCGCAATCCACTGGCCAACAGCACCCCGACCACCGCGTCTGGCGTCTGCACGACCGGTACCTCGACGCCTTCCCGCACCTCTAAAGTCATCGCCTCCGGGCTCAAATTCGGCCTCTCCATTTACGTATCTCCCACGATAGTCCTGTAGTCTTCCGGATGCCAAGTTTGTCCTCGGCTTATCATTTGTCTTAGAGTCGTTATAGTCGTAGCCGTTTAAAGGTAGTGCGAGGCGGCAGGCTCCGATCCCCTTCGCTTCAAAAGTGCGAAACCAGCAGCTTCACCTCCGTCGACTTCCCGGGACATCTCGTTCACTTCAACGCCAAAGCTCCGGGCTGACGTCTTGCGTTCGCTTTCTCCGTCAAACGAAGTGTGGCTTGACGACGGAAGAGCAGCCCACAAACGTCCAAGGAGGTCATTTGGACTCTGCGGAGGAGAAAGGACATGGGCCGTGAACAGCAGATGGACTTCCTTTCTTTGATGGCTCTCCAGAATCCCCACTGTCCTGTGTAGCATCCACCTTTGTGGAGGCTGTGGGCTTCACACGACCAGGACCACCCTGTAACAACTGAAGGAGCTCGGAACCATTGCCGTGGAATTGTTGCTTGTCATCCTTCGCAGGTGTAACCGATCTCCTCGGCTGCTCTGGGGCGCGCTTGGAGTCCGAGGTCTCTGCTGCGCTGGGTCCAAACACCGGAGACTCGAAGTGAAGGCCAGGACGAGCTTTAAGCTCCCCAGAGGAATGCGGCGGATGAACCACATTATCAGCAGGCTGGAAAGTCCGAGCATTTGGAAAAGGATACGGCACTGGCGGATGGAACGGTCTCTCGACTGGAAGAGGAGAGCGTAGAAATCAGTGGTCCGACGGAGTCAAGAATGGATCCGAAGGGAAAAGTGGGTCTTGGTGCTGCTACCACCCACCAAATCTTATTGCTGGGACGTAGAGTGGTCGTGGAGGAGACGACACATCCACGCCCAGTTCATCCTCGGCCTGAGTAGTGGCAGTCAAGGCGCGCTACATGACTGATCGCCCCAGAAACCCCGAAACTCTAGAATGCGCCCCGGCTTTCTAGCCGCCCCGGCCGCGGAGACGAGAGGAATCGACGCGATCGCCTGCAAAGCCTCAGCGTTCAGCTCAATTTCCCAGAGATCATATGCTTGCATGAATCTAGATCGGCTACTCCGGCTCTAGGCCAGCGAAATCGCGGCGCGGCGCCGGCGCTGGCGCTGCTGCTGCTCCTAGCATGCATACGTTGCTCGTCGCCGATGCTGCCGGAATCAAACGCGCTTGCGACGCAATCGCCTGCTCCTTCGCTGTCCGCCATAGCCGCGAAGAAACCTAGCTATGACACATTGAAGAATATACGCGCCGAAGCTAGAAGCATATTCCCCTCTTTAACCTGATGTAAGTTAAAAAAATGCTAAGGACTCCAGTTCTTCTCATTTAAATAGCATTTTGAGCTCCTCGATTCGAGCGCTTCGCACCTCTTCGTCTGTGAGAGCCCCCGCGATCAATCGCTGCTTCCTCGCTTGGATCCTGCTTAAGAGACATGAGAAACGTCAAAGAGAGTTTCAAGTGGCGCTTACTTTGACGATGAATCGCTTGATCGATACGTTCTTCGTCTGACCGATGCTCGATCGTCCACATTCTCGGCACTCACGGCACTTTCAATGTAAGAACTGCGTCCTCTGGCATCTCCAAACAAATTGGGCACTCAGCACTTTCTCCTTTACGAATATCATCCACCACCTCTTTGACATACGCCGTCGAAGGCACCTGGGAGGAAACGTCTAGCCAGCTTTCCCAGGTCCGCAAAGTCTTCAGTATCGCCACGGCTGCGTGACGAAGAAAACGTCAGGAACTTCAGACATAAGAGGATGCATTTTCTACCTCAGAACAAGAAAAGGATGATCACAAGCTTGCCGTAATCGAAGTAGCAGTTCGAGGATCGAGGCATAGTTATGGAGAACTTTACCTTGTCCAACGAACTGATCGAATTTTACCTGATCACAAACGCAAAATCGTGTTCAGAAAAAAGAGAAAGTAAAAGAAAGAGAAGTTCTTTATGCCTTAGATCTGTGGTAAAGGGCATCATAAAAATCACGTTCAGGCTCAGATAGTTTGCATTCAATAACTTCACATTGAGTCGGTTGGAGAACAAGAATTGGTCTGTGAATCCAACTTGTGAGTGAATACAAGACAAGGCACGGTGCAAAGAAAAGAATGCTTACCTTCCTTCTTTATCAGTTGAATCTTTTGTTCTTCGAAGCATTAACGGCTTCAACATAGCTTGCAGAAGCTTCAATCCGCGCTCATCCCCCTCCTCGTAAGGCTTCTGACTTGTTGATATAAACTCTGCAAGCACATCATATACGTAACGTCTCTGGTAAACACAGAAAAATGGAGAACTATGCTGCTCATAAGAGAAAGAGCCTCTGGTGCCATTTTGCACTTCCCAAAGGTATCGAACACTTGGCCCAGTCGGCTGGAAGCCGTCCTATCTGTGAGCAAATGGTTAGAATTAAAACGAAGAAACAAGTCAAGTGAAACGTACCTCTCCTGAAGCTTTTGTCAAGAACCTTACAATGTCGGAGCTCGCTTTCGGCCGAACCTTCTTGTGCTCAAAGAACTTCTTCTTACTTTCGACTTCAGGCTTGGGAAAATTGAAGGACACGAACTCGCCAACACGAATCCAGCATCCCCTGGACGTCGAGTACCCGGCAACTTCAGTCTCTTGGAGAAGCCACCACCTCTCTGCATGTAAAACAACCAGCTTCCATCTTCACCAAGCCATCTACTTTCGTAGGATCACATCCAGCTGCGATCAAAACCGAAGCTTCAGCTTTCACGGAACCACAACCAGCTTCCATCTTAACGGGATTACCGTGGGTCAAGGCACTACCTCTGATTGAAAGTCCAGCTAAGGCGCTAGAAACAGCCTCGCCATGTTTCCTGACAGTCTCAATGGAGCTCTCCACCACTGTTGTTCTTTCCACCTCGGCATCGTTTCCTCCTCCAGTCATGATCTTGTTTACCTCGCTCCACTTTCTACTCCCGAATCATATAAATCCTCTGCTCCACTATCATTGCTCACCTCGACAATTTTTGCTGTCCTAGAAGCCTCAGCTTTTGCAGGAGTTTTTGGCAATCCACTGCCGATGGAACATTTTGCCGCAGGGGCCTTTGTTGTCACCGTAGATCTAGAACTCCCTGTCGTCGACGATTTACCAACGCTGGGGTTGGAGCCTTAAGCTGGAGCCTCTTCCTATTTCTAAAACCCAGAGTGTCGCATAGTGTTGCCCAGCATTACACGCTCATCAATATGGTTTGTTACTATAACTAGTACCAAAACAAGATGGTTGTGTTAAACCATATGTGACTTTAATGGTTTCATGATTGGTTTCTTAATTGTTAATGCATTGCTTTTGGGACCACAACCACTAATCGTTTTGTACATAGTTTTCATCATGATTTATGCTCTATTTGGCAATCATAATGAATGGTTTTTTGTATAATTTTGAATATGATTGAGTTGTATTTTGAGAATAAATGTACATATACTTTTCTATATAGTTTACTGATATCTATATAGTTTTGAAACTGATGTTTGCCAATTTTGTTCACATAATTTTATTCACAATTCAGATATAGTGTTGCATATAAATTTTTATATATAAAACCATATTTATAGATATGGTTTTAATTACATTTTAATTTTTTAATATCATAGTGGTGTAGTCCCAAGTATTTATGGACCAAGCCTCTTTAAATATAATCAATTATTCAAACTTCACACTCTTCTCAACAATGTCCTTTAAGGTTTGTTCAGTTTTAATTTTGCAAGCATTTGGCAATTGGTAAATATAGTTTTCATTTTTATAAAATTGCTTTATGTTAACAAAAGAAAACTTAAATTCAAGGAGCAATTCCACTAATTTTCTTAGAATTGCTATGTTAAGCTTAGAAAATTCTTGCAAGTATTTGCTAAATTTGAGTGGAAAAAAATAAAATTACTTATATTGATTTGTTATTATACTACTTTATTAATAGTTGTTGATTTTTTTTTTGCATTTACAGTGTATTCCACTTCTTTTTCCTCATATATTATATAATATATACAAGCTTAAGAATCAATACACCTCCTTATAAATATTTATGGCCATAGGCTAAGCTTTTACTATTGTGGATGACACTTACAAAGTTATACAAGTTAGTTATAATTAATACACACAAGCCAAAAAAAAAAAATTTAGTGAAGATTGTTGCAAAACAATAAAAAATTTTTATAATATTATCCACATTTTAATAAAAAATTATTTAAGGAAGCACTTTCAGTGTTCTTCTATTTGTAAATAGAGCCAGAAAATATTAATCCATATATACAATTAAGTTATACTATGAAATTTACCTTTTTCTTCTTTGGTTATAATCTCACACTCAATTTCTTCATCAATTTTGTTTAGTAGGGTATGGGGGTTGCTCCTCACATCCGTTGCCATATGATTCAGTCTAGAGCTACATAAACAAAAATTAAAAAACTATAAAATTCTTTTGAAAATAATACTGCTTTAATAATTTTTTCATTATCCTTGCCAATGACAATGGCCTTCATGCACTTAGGCCAATACATCTCCTGAACTTAAAATTTAAAATTAGTCCATACCTTTTTCTTTAGTGTTGAGCATAATTTTAAAATGCCATCCTAAAAAAAATTTACCTCACATATGAAAAAAAACCTTTATATTGGCCAGTAAATCCTTATCTATGAGTGAAATTATCCTCACTCGTAGAGCTTTATACTTTCAAATGAATGTGCCACTATAAACTTTCTTAACTATTGTAGTTCTAACTCATTGCCATTTATCTAAAATTGTTATCCTTGCTATTTGAAGATATTGCAAAAGTTATATTGAAAACTATGAGGTTTTTTCTATTGAAACTAATATGGTTTGTACTTTAAAAAACTCAAGATCTACATATTTAACTTAAATGCAAGGAGATTTACAACACTCTAGTCATACAAGTACTTTATAAACTCTTTTATTTGCTCTATTTTAGCAACCACTACTTTCTGAAGTTGATATCACAATATAATGAAGATCTCTTTTATTTTGAACTCATAAATACAAAAGGAACTGATTATTTATTTTACACTCAAAAACTTGCTCAATTAGTTTAGTTCTTTGCTCCACTTACCTTTCACATTTGAAGTATCCTCTTTTGTAGTTAGGAAAGATTTACAATAACTCATAAAGTAGATTCTTGCTAAATAAAGTTAATAAAAAATCTAGTAAGCGCTTGGAGTACTTAACATTAAAAATTGGTGTTGCAAACCTTGGTTGCTATTTTTATAATCCTTGATTTTGTGTGTTTTATTCTTAAGTGAGTGTTGGCTGGTACTATTGTTTTCGTGAAGGGCTTTTATTTTGGGCATGCTTTTTATAGCATATCTATTCCGACGAATCATTGAGATTTTTGAGTTTCTTTGTCAATTGGATTGCATCCTTTTTTTTTGCTCCAATGCTCATCCATATCGGAATGTTAAGCTTGAAATAATCCTCTCTAAAAAATCCATCACTCTCAATTTTGTTATTGAAGTTTGGCAACACTCTAGCCAAACAAACACTCATAATATATTTATACAATCCCTTGCTAAATGGTCCATTCAATTTTGCTAAGGTCATCAATATTTTAGGAAAAAAAAAAGGGATTCACTTTGTGTATTTTCACCCATTGCTTACCTTATCTCAGCTTGTCAATTCAAATAGAACGATAAGCAGATACAAAACTTAACACCTTTACAATCTCGCCGCCCACTAAACCCTACTATGCAAACCCTATCTCACATGTGGGAAGTTCAAATGTAAAAAATATATATAAATTAAGTAACAAATTTATATTGATTTTAGCTAATTATGCTCGCTCTATCTCCATAGTTGCATCATTAGACTATTTTGACTCTTTATTTACTTCTAGGGTATGGAGTTTCTTTCAAACAACTTATACCCTAATAATCCAAACACATAACTATATTAAAAAATGTATAATTAAAAACATCACTTTACCAATTCTAATTGCTTTATAGGCCAAATAGCACCATGGTTGGTGGACCTTGCTATAATATAAAACAACAGCATGCCATCTATGCCATCGATCCCAACCTCAATCATCTTCCAAGTCCAAAATCATTTGCAAATCACAGGTCATCCTTAAATAGTCATTTATCTTGCATCATATTAAGATCAATTGAAGACATATTAATGTTATTGTGGATGCAATGGTAAGCTCTAACAACACAAAATAGTAGTGCATATAAGAATTGTAAATAAAAGATTTCCAAAATCAAATAAAAAATCATTTAAAAACATAACTGGCACATTAGATGCATAAGGATATAAGCAAGATCTTCATAAAACCTTTATAGCCTTAGAGAAAAGCAATTATCCTTACCTAACTCAAAGAGTTAAAGATTTTTGCTAAAGTAAGCATGATACCAAAATAAAAAAACTTCTATCAATAAAAACAAGTAAAAAGCTTTAACCTTCCTATGTTCTATGCTTATCAAATGTTACTTATAAGCCCAATCCCAAAAAGCATTACGGATTGGGCAATTTATCTCCTCTACCTCCATTATGAATTTGCTAAATAAGGACTTGAAAAATACCTCAAAAAAAATATTTATAACAATATTATGTTTTTGAAAGAAAGCAGCAAAAAACCACGAGGCTGACAACATTAAAAACACTAAAAGATATGTGATAATTGTGTATTTTTAAGTTTCACAAGTTTTGCAAGAATGTGCTTGCCTTGTAATGTTGATTGTAATATTTGTCTGGGGATTGGAATCACTAGATTAGCCAGAAAATGACACATCTCAATGGTTCATACCAAACTAAAGCAAAAAAGAAAGAAAAATTATTGTTGTCTATCATATGTTACAACAAGGGCAGCAAAAGGTTATTTTTTCACCAAATCTACTTTCTATAAGCATAGGCAAACACTT